TAATTTATTTAATGTTATAATATTGTCTATCTATGATGTTGGGGAAAAAACGATAATTGAGAAACTGATGATCTGTTCAGTATAGCAACATACCTAAAATACAGCAAACGATTGAAATAAATGATTTTAAAATAAGTTGTCACTTCTTATTTTAGTCACAATATTTTGTTTAGGCACAAATATTTGTTTGGATATATATTACTAGGCATAGGCTATACACTGCAATACACAACAACTCACAAATGCTGGTGCAAACGCTTTAGCACAAATACGTAATTATCTAACATTTTGGAATCAATACATTTTTTTTCTGTTCGCGCAGTGGTTTAGGGCTGATGAATTCCGAGGATTGGATTTTGAGCTTGGTAAATCATAACACTTTGTTAACACTGTGTAAAAAGTACATCAGATCATTTGCGTAAAAATCATACTGAAACAAGCTAATCATTTTCAGCCGCCTTGAAAATGTTCATATGGGCCTGTATGTCAGATACTTTACGCTGTTCGGCTATATACACATACACCGTTACGTGAGAATTGATACGTGGATTTTTAATAAGAAGTGTAACATTTTCAAAGTTTTTCTTTTTTATGTCAAGCTTGACCGTAATATCTGCTATCGCCTTAATGATTAGTTCGTGCATGATTTGAATCATTCAAGATAAATTGTGGTAGAATGCAAATTGGTTATTTTCTATGCTGTTTAAGTAATGAATCAAAAATTGAATGAATACCATGTATGTGTGTACACGGATGTGCTAGTGCTAGGGGTCAAGAGTGTCATCGTGAGTAAATCATAGGCAAATCCTAACTCCGCAACAAAGGGGATTTCATCTGCGGAAAACATTTCCAGTAGTCAGAGACCACCCTGCCTCAGAATTTCTTCCTTTATGTAGAAAAGCCTTGGTGAATTCCTCTCATCCTGAACTGACTTTTTTTAAATGTTTTTGATAAAAATCACATTTTTGTCTTTTTGGATACCAATTTCACTTCACTAATACTGTATGCCAGAGCTCTTGGGAAAAGTTATTACATTTATTTATTAGATTGTAAGGTACGTTGAATGAAGTGCAACTGACACGGCACCGGGGAGAAGAGGCATTATGTGGGACATTGACGCACATTCTGACAACAGGAGCATTCATTCATGCAACATTAATGATCAGTGAAGCTGCACACCTCCAGGCATTGCACAATGAAATTGAATGTATCTTATTAAAAGAGACATGTGTAAAAACCAGTTTAATATCATTTTATTTCATTATTTATTTTGTCGCCTTCGTTCATTCTGAAGAAAATCTATTAATGACATTCCCACTATATACTACTACTAATAATACTGATACTAAAAATACTAATGATTTCTATTATTACTACTACTTAAAAAATGGTGTATTACATTTAGTGTAAGTGCAAAAAACTTAAGTGTACTAATTATAACAGCTGTAAATAATAATGTTTTATTTTTATTTATTATTAGTTTATTTATATATCCTTAAAATAATCTCTGCTATGAAATAATGAAATCAAAGATTACAGTTTCATCCCACTAAAAAACAATGCATTAAACAATTGCTATTAATTTAGTAGATGAATGTAATTTATACAAAGACAAAATTTTAGCAGTATTAGTTTTTCTAACACTTGAATGGTGATGGAGAGCAGACAGATAAAAAAGTCTCTGGTTTTACAAAAAGTAGTGTCTAATGTGATCAATTTAATAATACCGTGCATGATGAATGGTAGACACAAATGCCTTAATTTATTTGTTATTTGTTTTTTAATTAACTTAGAATTTATGCAATTCACATAGAAGTTCTATATACCCAGCAAGAGAAAAAAACACACATATACACACACATGCAGCAACATGAATGCACAAACACCATTGCAAGGCCTTGCATCTCAGGTGTTACATGAATGGCCACACATTCCTGAGCGCTCCTGCCTCTGAGCTTTACCTAAAGTCAGAGCTGATGTGAAACGATAAAGTTATGAGAGAAAGGAAAAGCTTATGGGCTGCATGTCATAATGGTGTAAAGCTTCCCCACTGTTTAAACACCCACTGCCTCCTTTTTTGGTGGTCCAAAACAGCATAAAAATGAAAGACATAGCATTGAGCTCCATGTAATGTTTAAAACATTACAAACACAACAAAATACATTTATATTCAGAAATCCCAACCTCCACAAACACACCACCTCCATGCCAAAAATTCACAAACACACGCTCTCTGTCCCTAACGTTACGATATACGCAGATCCCCACATGTTGCAGCGCAAACAGTCCTTCTGGCAGGCACTGCTGCTGATTTGACTTGGAAAACACTTTCACCCCAACCCCGTGGTCACGGACCGTTGCTTCGGGATCGAGGTGCTGTTTTGAACACATATACACCACCAAAAAGGCAGACACGAAGCCACCACACATAGAGGGCATCACATGTCACAATGCACCAGACAAACTCCCCAGACCCTATTCTATTCAAATGAACAGCTTTGAATGCCATTTTCCTACTCTGACAGCATTGATACGGACGTTGGCTTTGCTGACAATACAAATGAATCGACTGGAGGCACATATCACAGTAGTTCATTTAATACAGGGTCAACAGACTTTAAAAAAAACCTCTCAAAACAAAGGCGAACATACAGAGAGCACAGCAAGACCGGCCTATTTGAGAAAAACCATGACACTTTGGTTCAGTACAACTGGGAGTTTGCCACTCATAATAACGTACAGTCAAAAAAGTCGTAAAACGTGGCGATTAATCTAATTTAAAAATCACTGGGAAGTTTTTGAAATAGCACAGAAAAAGTGTATTTTTTCAAGGCGGCACAGCACACGTACAGTCATGACAGGAGGAAATGTGACAAACACCTTAATCTTAAAGCCACCATTGAAACGGAGGAAAGTGAAAACACATTTGCTCACGCGCCCACATCTGTTTAGAATGAATTCCTATGGAAAATCAAGTCAAATGTCACATGGTTATCTTTAGCTGACTGTGTGCAATCAGGCTGAAGACAGGAGCACAGAGCACCGTAACACTGTACAGGGGGCTGTGGGTGGACCGGGCCGAGGTGCTAGCTTGATTTTAAAGGCCGGCTGACCATAAGCAGACTGTTTTCCCTCGTGTGCTAGAACAGTATGTCTTAAACGCTCAAAGGTAAGCGTCAGTTTTTGCTCGTTCTTCTGGTACGGTGTATATCTGGCTGCCACAGCGAAACCTCGCAATCTGAAGTAAGGCAGGGAAAAACTTCAAACGAAAGAGTGAAAGGGAGAGAAAGGTTAAGGGATTATATAACAAAAGACTAAATTATCTGAAATAATGCTTCAAATGACTTGGAAGAAGGTCTTTTAAGCATTTAGAGGAAAACTATGAGCACAGTCTGAAAATGTGTCTGGTGTCGTTAGCCTTCGGTGTTGTAACTCAGAGAAGCTTTAAAAGGCCGTTGAAAGGACTGACAGCGTACAACCAATCAAGAGTTGAAGCGGAGGATGAGAGCCTGAGGTGCAACTCAGACTGACATCTATACATAAGATGAGAATAACAATTGCCTGTTCAAGTCAACGAAGGGACATAAAACATGACCTTTAAAGCGAAGGAGGGAAATGTAGTCAGGGTGGAATTCAAAGGATGACGTATTGTTTTAACTCATCCAACTAGTTATCTTTTTTAGCAACACAGAGGTAGACTATGTGAATAATATGAAACTGTCTTCCCCATCTACTGTAGGCCGCAGCGCTTCATACTTTTATTATGACAGCATTGAGAGGCCGTCCTGATTGTTTAGATTTTAGTTGCATTTTTCAGTTTTGTTATTTTAAGTTGTGCTGAGCTATGATGAATCAGCCTGCAGGCCAGGAGAGATGAGTGAGAGCGAGCGTCTTGGCTCATGACGCTATGATGACATACTGGAGTGCAGTTTGAAGGGAGAAAAAAAAAATCAGGTGATACATCATCGCTAGTGATTGTCACCACAGAGATTCCTTTCCCACTGTAATCTGTTATCACTAATAACAAGGAATTATAAGTAACAAACCAGTAAATTACAGTAAATTAACTTAAAGGGTTAGTTCACCCAAAAATGAAAATTCTGTCATTAATTACTCCCCCTCATGTAGTTTCAAACCAGTAAGACCATCGTTCATACTGGTTCACAAATTAAGATATTTTTGATGGAATCTGAGAGCTGTCTGACCCTGCATATGACAGCAATGCAATTGAAATGTTCCCAAGTCCAGAAACGTAGCAAGGAGATCTGTAAAATAATCCATGTGACATCCGTAGTTCAACCGCAATTATATGAAGCTACGAGAATACTTTTTGTGCGCAAAAGAAGAAAAAAAATACTTTATTCGTCTCCTCCGCATCACCCGCCGGATCTGTTTCCTATGTTGTTGTGATTTTATCTGAACTGAAACAGCGTATCCGTGTGACGCAGCTGACACAGAACAGCATACGTTGTTTACTTTCAGCGGATATTCTCCAAAATGGCACCAGGGTGATGCGGAGGAGACGAATTGTTGAATAAAGGAGTTATTTTTTTTTCTTTTGCACACAAAAAGTATTCTCGTAGCTTCAAATAATTGCGGTTGAACCACTGATGTCACATGGATTATTTTACAGATCTCCCTGCTACGTTTCTGGACTTGGGAACATTTCAGTTGCATTTTTAGGTGAACTAACCCTTTAAGCCTAAACATTTAAATGATTTAAATGTTAAACAACAGCAATGTTTCAAAAGAAGCAGGCCAACAGCAAATTTTTTAATTGCTATGGAAATTTCTAGAAGTAAATAAAAATGTTTAAAGAAAAAAAAACATGTAATCAGCTCGAAAACTAAATAAATATATTTATAAATATTTTCATCTAGAAATCAACTGGAAACGTCATGAAAATTCACTGGTCAAAATGTGTAATTTTGAAGAGTTTTATTTCAAGGCACCAACAACCAATTTCACAGATTTATTGTAGTTCAGGAGCCTTTATTAGCAAAATACAGCTATTACTTGAATACTTGTAACCACTTTGGGCTACAAGTTGTTATAATTACAGTTTTACAATTATTGTATATCAAAAATGATTTTGAAATCCATTTGAATGCCTATAATTCAATTTGTGCTTATGTCTAAATTTACCAATATGATTTTGCTTCACACATTTTCAAGCGTTAAGTATATCAAGGGTGCTTTGAATTTGAAACACTGTTGACACGGCTATTGAGAAGTGGGACCTTGAGAGCTTTGAATAGCTTCAACATGGAAAATGAAATACAGTATGACGGATTTACAACCAAATCTAATAAAGTCAAAGTCCTAAGGAAGCCATCCAGAAGACAGCAGACACATCCTTCAGGCTTACTGTAATTCAGTCTTGCTCAGTCAAAAATTCTGAATATAGGTTAAAAATGAGGTGCTGTTTCTGTCTGGTATTTTCAGTTAGGGTGTGTAGAGCTGCTGTGGTTACTATTACATATGCAGGCCTGCGGACAGGTAACTCTCAGATGTCTCAGTAGTTGTGTTCTGTTATATATAAACGAGACTTGGAATGTCAAGAACCAGGGAGTGACTGTGCTGTTGCAAAGCATCTGTGATGGAGAGTCTACATGTCACATGTCTGAGCTGTGATTTTGAATGTGGTTGGTAGTGTTGATTGTTGAGGAACAATCATGGCATTGTGTTTGATCGACCTGGAAGGGATGGAGTATAGACTGATGGTGATGTGCAGATGATCACCAGTTCTTTTGCAGCCAGTCAGATACGTATTCATAAACCAACAGCATGACTGCGCCTCCTATATTCAGAAAGTAAACAACAGTTAAAGGGCATGGATAATTTTGATACGTTAAAGGGACAGTGCACCTAAAAAGATTAATTCTGTCATCATTTATTCACCCTCGTTCCAAACCTGTATGACTTTCTTTATTCTGCAGAACACAAAAGAAGATATTTTGATGAAGAACCAAAACAGTTACAATTGTCTTTTAGTGTACGGACAAAAGACACTGAGACATTTCTCAAAATATCTTCTTTTTTGTTCCACAGAAGAAAAGAAAGTGAGTAAATGATGACAGAGTTTTCATTTTTAGGTGTACTTTATTTATGTTACCTGGTCCAAGTCTCATTATCTTGGGAATCAGTCCTTTGTATAAGGCAAGATATCTGCAGAAACACACACACACACACACACACACACACACACACACGCACGCACACACACACACACACAGTTACATTTATTATAATTTAATGATTTGAATTTCTTTCTTCTGTGGAATACAAAAAGAGGAATTCTAAGATCCTCTGTTCCATAAAGAATGCACATTAGAGCATCATAAAAGTAGTCTATTCTACTTGTGCACTATATTCAAGTTCTTCTGAAGCCATTTGATTTGTATATGTAATGGACTAACATGTAAATTGCTATTCAAATGTCAACAACACTAAATGCAATTGGTTTTGTCAAGGCATGTTTGAATACACTTAAATTTGGGTTTTTATTCACACTGACCAATACATATACATAAATCTAATCAAATACGGCAAAAAAGAAGGTCAACCGTACTTGCTTGAGGCATGAGAACAAACTTCACTGGTCTAGTTGTGGAAGCTCAAACAAGTTCTCATGCCTCAAGTAAGCTCATTTGAGCTTCTGTGTACCATATTTGATGTGCTTATGGATTCGTTTTTTATAAACGTTTTGAAGTTTCAAAGTTTTAGAGAAATGGACTTCAATAGAAGGGCAGAAATCTCAGGTTTCATTAAAAATATCAAAATTTCTGCTTTGATGATGATGGGTTCAGAACAATATAAGGGTGGGTCTTTTGGTTTAGAGCGATATGAGGGTGAATAAATGACATCCCTTTAAAATTTGATTGCTTTCTCACACAAATCTATCATGTGGCTTCAGAAGACTTGGTATGTAGAGTATTATTGATACCTTTATGATGCATTTATGTCCTTTTTGGAGCTTGAAAGTTCACTTCTTTGTATGGAAAAGAGCAGCACTAACATGTTTTAAACTTCTTTGTGTTTCACTGAAGAAATTCATACAGGTTCTGAACAAAACAAGGGTGAGTAAATGACAGAATTTTCTTGTTCTTTTTTTTTTGACTGATCTATCCCTTTAAGGTAATTTATCTCTCTCTGTGGCTCGATCTGTCTGTGAAAAGGTATAGGGCACTAATAACTGGTCTAGTTGCGTACCTGCCCTAATGTGTTCAAGCTGATTTCTGGCAGTGGGCCTGGCGGTCTCCCTGTCCCAGCCTCTGTCCTCTGCTTGTGCTGGTGTTAATAAGGCTTGAGCCACTTCCTCTCTGCCCTGCTGTCTGATTAGACTGACCCGCTGAGCGCCGCGCGCCTCGTTAGGACCTGCTTAACGACGTCTCCCATAGGGACCACTAATTAGCCAGGACTGTGTCGTGTTAGAGGGCTGGACAGGATGGGGTACCCTCTCAGCACCCCTAAAACTAAAACAGCTTCAGTGTCTCTCTCTTTAACTCACACACACACACACACACACACACACACACTGCCTTTCCCAAGATCAGGCCTCAATTCTTTGCCTCTAATAACAAACGAGTTGCCGTTCCCTTTGTACAGAGTGAACGGGGCCAATCAAGGCCCTGAAGGGCCATAAAACTACTGATTCTCTCTCCCAGCTTTCCATGAGGGCTGTCAATTCAGATGGAGAAAGAGAGAGACAGAAAGACGCTATGAGCACTATTAGAGTCTCCACTAAAAAACAACAGCCCACGTCAGAATCGACATAGTATTTACACAATGAATGTACACAAGTTATACTGTATTAACATGCTAGCTGATCTCACACTTGTTGAAGAAGATCTTCCTTTAAATGCAATTTTTGAGCATTAGCACTTATTCTTATTTGTCATAATATGCTAACATATTTATCTATTATAAACAATGTCAGTACTTTTCACATATTTATAAGCAGTGAAGCAGATTTTTTATTTTATTTTTTAAAGAAATAACAAAATATCATGCCAAAAAATGTGACATAACGTTGCCCCCTTATACCGTTTGCTTTATGGCAAAAATATAAATAAATAAATAAAAAATATATATATATAAAATATAATAATAATAATAATAATATATATAAAAATTAGTTTTAAATTAGATTAAAAACATGCACAAAAGATGTATATTTAAGTCATTGTGTATGAACTGCATTTAATTCATTTTTGTATACTTTATTAATAGACTTTATCCCCTCATATTTTTTATTTAAAATAAAAAAAGTAAATATGAATATAAAAGTAAATAATTAAGTAAATAAATAAATTTTATATTAAAAATTAAAAACATGCTCATCACAGAAGATGTGTATTTAAGTCACTGTGTATGAATTCATTTTTGTATACTTTATTATTAGACTTTATTAATAGAAAAAAAATTCATCCTTACATCATTCACCCATTATTAGTGTCCTAAGTTTTTGGATGCGATATGCACATGGTAAAACATAACCATCCAGTATATGGATCCAGATCAAGTATCCACTAAAAATGTTAGGTAAAGTTTATGTCATTCAAATAGATCTAGACAAAAGAAGTGACACAAAGTGCTAATTTTTATAATTCCAGCATATAGCTCAGAACAAAAGGAAAACATAATTACACTGAGATTCAGAGGGTGCTTAAATTTGCTGGTTGTCAAAACTTGCCCTCTTGTCCCCTGTGGGCAGAGGATAAACATAAAATGTTGTATCATTTTTCTTGTAGGTGAACCTCATGGCAGTTCTGGTTGGTTTAATGTGTCTTGTCGGGTGTAATTTTGACACCTTTAGTTGTTGGGTGATGGCCTTACCCCTCCTCACGGTACACAAGAGCCATGGTCTGAAAACAGCTGCGGTATTTGATCTCCCCTGGAACAGGCTGAGGACCCTGGATACGGCTTTTAGCGACATCGAAAGGAATGTTCACGCACGATGAGACCGTTCCTGACACCAAACCGATAGCAAACTTCCTCATGAATTCCAATCGAGGGTCCTGGCATACATACAGACAGAGAGATACATTCAAGGTAAAGAGAGCGAGAGCTTTGCTATAGCATGGGAACTATTTGGAGCTTGCTTATAAGAAGATTAATGATGATCAACACACATTTCCTGTATTTGAAGGGCACAAACAATGCTTTACTTGAATGTTTGCTGAAGATGTTAAAGGAATATTTTGTAAAGTTAAAATAAAATTGTGTTTACAGTCTAAAAGTTAACTTTTAAATGTAAAGTTAAAGGGATATTCTATAAGTTAAAGACAGGATTTGTGGGATGATGTTGATAAACGCGAAACATTTTTGACCTGTCCTTCATTAAAAAAAAAAAAAAAAAAAAAAAAAAAAAAAAAATAAATATTAAAAAAAAAAAAAAAAAAACAAAAAAATTTTTATTAAACATTTTCTTCTCCTCCAAATGACAATCTTCTGCCAGTATTCTCGTAGCTTCATAAAATTACGGTTGAACCACTGGAACATTTCAGTTACATTGCCATCTATGGAGGGTCAGAAAGCTCTCGGATTTCATCAAAAATATCTTAATTTGTGTTCTGAAGATGATCGTCACGGGTTTGGAACGACATGATGGAATTTTCATTTTTGGGTGAACTAACCCTTTAAGAACTAAAGAATAATTTATGTTTTTGCTGTTGTATTAAGTAATGTTAACAAACTAAATCTTATTGTAAAGTGATACCAGATTATTTTACTTTTCATTTAAAAAAAAGAAAAATTTTTGTTCCCTTTTTAAAAAAAAAAAAAAAAAAAAAAAAAAAAAAAAATATATATATATATATATATATATATATACAGTATATATACAGTATATATACATTTTTCGAGCATTTAAAAGTAGAAATAAAATTGGTTATAACTTTACACAGAAAAGGATAATAAGTGATTTTACTCACACTAAAATAATTTTGTTAGAATAATTATGTCTTGTCGCTACATAATTGAAACAATGAGTTAGCTTCACAAATTGGCCCCATTCACTTTCATTGTAAGTGCCTCACTGTACCTCAATTGTCTTTTTTTATTAAAAAAGAGGGACATATCTAAATAAACTGCTGAAATAAGTGCAGTAGATTACACTTAACTGAACTATTCCTTTAATGATAAAACAATAGCTGTTTGATGACAGTTTTATAGTCAGAGCCATATTATTCAAAATTCTAAGATAACACTCTAGTTGATACGGAAATGCAAATTAGTGCATAAAAGACAATGTAAGCAGTTAAAGGAGCTAATAAGGAGGAGTGACATAAAAATGCAGATAGAAAAAATGTGAGCGAGTGATCGAGCAAAGGAGGACTAAAGAAAGAAGTGAAAGAAAGGGGGCATGGAGTCAAGGATGTAATGGCAAAGCTGGAATAAAACCTCAGATCATTTTATGGTAGCGGGGCACAGATTAGAGTTTCATGAGAAGAGCGAGGCTTTACTATTGGCTGAAGTGGGTCACATGACCAAGGGCAAACTTTGGGAGAGGATTTATAAACAGAGTTCATGCAGGCAGACTGGGAGGCATATGGGGACAATTTGGGTAATTGGGCTGCGACTTGACACTGGTGTATTACTGTACAAAAAGAAGCCTGAACCAGTGCAGCTCTGACATCTAATTGGCCAGGATATTTTTTACAAATGACAGCAGCCCAGCAGCGACACGCAACATCGACAGCTAAACCTGAACATTGCATTGCAGGGGAGGAGCGTCGATGTGTAACAACAGCGCTCCGCCTTATGTATAGTTTCCACACGAAACACTCCCTTCATCGCCATTACATTTGCAGCACACTTTACCGATGTTCTCAGAAAAGAGTAATTGGTTTCATAGCGAACGCTCTTTAAATCTCGAAGTCTGTGCAGGATTCGATACCCCTGGAGAAAGATCACTGATTTGGATCCTAATTCCAAGTGAATGACTGGTTTCTTTGAAAACACTGAAGGAAGTAGATGCTCCACCTAAAAAGCAGAGAGATTTTCTTTGCAATAGAGAGTCAAATCAGGGATGGTGAGCTCTGCCCTTTTGCATGATCGAGCGCTGGAGGTTTCTGGCTTCTCAGGCAATGACGATCTTAGCACCAGATGAAGGGGGTATACTAATCTTCAGTAGGACTTCAACTGTACCCCCCCCCCA